TTCTCAAAGAATTACATTCCTTTCCATATCAGAGCAAACTTCTTTGGTTATGATCGCGAAAGAATCCGAGAGCCATACTTGGAAGATATCTACTTTGGGATTTTCATTCGTCACAGAAAACTGCTTTGTGCTGACAGAGTTCTAGGAATCCACAAGAAGCCAAAAGATTATCGTATTGAATATCGTCACCTTTTAAAAGCCAAGTGCCAGCCTATCAGTCAAGTTCGTACCAAGCACCGAATTGTAACGATAAAACAGATAGATGCTTATAAGCTATTGAGAATTTGGTATCCTGTCTTCACTGTTACCAGACAGGATGGCCAGATTTAGAGGTTTAGCGAAGCTGACTTCTCGAACTTGTATTTGGATGACCTTGAATACATGTTCTTCGAACTCAAGAACATGACGATTAGAAAGGAAGGAGAACTGGTAGCTCTGGATGCAATTAAGAGATTCATTTGAAATCATGTAAAGTTGTCAATTGTCATTGATATTCAAATGGGTCTTGAAGATAGTCAACGAATCATCAATCTCAAAAGACCTCATCAAGATTTAGAAGACATTGACGGCTATCCAGTCTACATGGTTCTTGAGAGCCCAGAGTTCGGAGTCATCTATTTCGCTCAACTTCAAGTTAAAAAGTTCATGAGATTCAGTGAGTTGAACAAGTATTCTGACGGTACGATTAAGCTTGTAAGAAGGGCGCTGGACTTGAAAAGGGTGATGGATGATAAGGTTGTGGAATCTGAACGGATGAATGCCAAAGAAAGATACTTGCTCGTCAACGCTATAAATTTGCTCGAGGAGAAAATTTAGTACAGAAATGCTCTGAGAAGGTTAGAGAAAATCCTTGGACTGCGCAAAACGAAGTTTACAAGAGTCCAAACTTGAATACAAAGGGGGAGAATGTTGGGTTCAAGTTAGTGCTTTAATGTTGTATTCAAGTTTCTCCTTAATATAGTTGTTTTGTAATAGCTTAGCCTTTACATTTCCTAGTATAAATAGTGATTTCCTTGTAATTGTAATTAACAATTGTCATTAATCTGAATATCAAGATTTGCTGATGTAATATTCTCTCTCTCAATCTAATCATCTTCTTGACAATCTTCTTTCTACCTTTATGTTCATCATGATCTATGAAGATTATATCATGTTTGTATGAAATCTGGACTCATCAGGATAAGACCAAAACAATCTTGCATGACAAGCTTCATTTGAGCGATGAATGCTGGAATAACACTGAAGGTCTCTTCAGCATTTACTGAGGCTTGTGCACTCTTCACACATATATTAACCAGGTTTTAATCACTAAATACCGCTTTAGATCACTAACGCGCAAGTCACTAATCTTCAGTTTCAGTCTTCGACATTCAATGAAGGTTCTTTGGTGTGAGTTTTGTCTTCTTGAAGTATTGTTGTCGCTGTAGGATTTACAATGCATGTTTCAGCGATCATTGAACAGACTCAGTGATGATCGTTGGAACTGAAAGAATATAAACATAACACTTCGAAAGGTAAAAGGGATTATCATCAAATCAGTGAGAGAGAGGATCAACAATTATAAATAGTAGTATAGATAGTATGTTTTATAAGTGTGCTTAGACATTTAGTTCAGCTGAGCATTGTAATATTTCTCCCTTTACATTCTCTCTGTAATCATTTTATGAATCAATGACATGATGACAACTTGATCTCAATATGTGTTCATGTTTTGAGTGTTATCTACATGTACTGACTATTGTATTGTATTAGATCTAGTTTAGGGACCTAACAGTTACATATAGATATGAGCATTCTCTCTATACTAGCAGAACTATATTCCTTGAAATCTGCTTTGTTCGGTCTACAAGCCTTGTTGGTAAAAGTGGTGACTTTGTGGGGAGATTGTGGGCATTGCTATGGAAGTCCACTGTCGAGAGGTGGGGACTTTTATAGATGCTTTTGTGACTCATTTTTAGTTATATCTTCATATTTCATTGTGAAAATCATCAAACTTGCTCAAATATATTTTTTTTCTTCTCTAATTGAAGTCATTATATTCTCAACTTACTATTAAAAACTTTGAAGTCTGATCCTAGTTGATAAGATCTTGGTATTTGTTAGCCCCAAATATCTCTGATGTAAATGTATTGTAAAAGAAACCAAGTCACTTGGACTAGATGTCTTCAGCACTAGAAGCTTCGTTGAACCAGAGCCTCGAACAGAAACCACGCTGCAAGCAGAGTGTGGTTAACCAAAAGATGGTACCGAAGAGGCAGAGCCTCTGGCCACCTCTGTTCCTTAGCTCAATGTTCGACTTGTCAAGATATCTCTAAGTGTTATCTTCTATCACAACCTGACGGCTTAGCATGAAGCGGTTACTTGCACATTTACACATGGAGCTTCTACATTTGAGAGTCCATTGACTTTCCTGATTTAGGCTATAAATAATATATGTTTAGGGTTTCTAGTACGATTTAATATGTATGTAACAACTTAGAGAGAGAGAGAGTGATTTCGGGAGATCTTAGATCTTCTTACACATTACTATGTGTGTTCTTAGTGTAATTCCATATCTTCTCAGAAATCAATCCATACATGATGATGATGGCATACCTTATTGTTTGTATCTCTTTCATCATCTTCTACTATTAATAGTTTGTTTGTAGTTAATACTTGTTGCTTTCCCTCATATCATTCAAAGCATTAATTACTTATAGAAGAGGATTTGGGATCCTACAGTAACTTTTACCACTTTCTTACTTGAAAACGAACTCAATATTTGGTGTATACTTGCATCATTATTATGCCAGGGGCTCTGTTGTTATTTTTCCGGTTTAACCTAAGCTTACTGAAGGTGTCATCCTCTTTCCTTCAGTTCTCCGATGGTAGATTACCAATGTGTGATTGATTGAAGTGCATCATTTCATATGAAGCCCGATTTGAGTTGGTTCACTATATTTGTGACGGAGGGAAGCAACATTTCAATATGCAAGAGTTTGGCGTCGGATCCACTAGAATGAGGACGTATGATGGAAATATTATCTCAAATGTGAGAAATATTTCGGCTTTACCTAGATATGTGATAATTAGCCCCACGAGAGGAGGTAACAATTTCAGGCAATGGTTCTAAGGTATCTCATGGTTGTATGATCGTGATGAACTGTATTTCCTTTCACGCCAGACTCCGACAAGAAAGCATGTTTGGGTCACAATATGCGAATCTATCACCGCATATGACAATTTCAGAAATTCAAATGGTTGTGGTAGCATCAAGTTTGGGATATTTGAGAGGGTATCGTCCGGTGTTAGAGTACAAGTTGGATAGTGGTTCGTGAAAGAAGAGGAGCTCACTTCAACTTGATATGAGGTTTTAGCTACTTTGCAAATGTTGGTTTTATACAATCTTTGACATTTTCACTTATGCGGATGAGGAATCGCTATTTGAAAAAAAATACAAGCATTTCTGGCTGCCATTTGAACATTGTAAACTTGGTAAGCATTTTGTAAGCTATTGTAGATGACATGATATACATCTCACATTTGTGGATCTGAGCTTATGAAATAGATGGTGGAACATCAAACATCATGCTCTTAATTTCTATTGTTTAATGTGCTTATTTGGTTTCAACATATTTCAAAATAAGAAAGACATAAATGTTAACAACATACAAATAAAATGATTCATACGTAAACAAATGGTAAAACAAAACATAGGTTGATTCACGTACAAAATCATTTATTTTTACATGAGTATTTGCCATATATAGATGTTATATAATTTGAAAAGAACAGATCGTTTTTCCACATGTTAAACAAAAAAATAGGCAAACCCAACCTACAAATGATCACCTCTAGCGAAAGGCGTAAAAAGAGCTTCCACTTGCAATACGAAATTTGTGCGACAAAAATAAGGAAGGAGGTAAGCGGGAAACATCTAGATCTCATGATTCTTCATCGTCTTCTTCCGGAAGTTCTATTTCATCCACATCCTCAACGGGTCCATCTTCGCTATCATAGTCAATTGGACCTGCTGCTGTATACAAAAAATGGTAACAATGCCATGTGGTATAATACACACAAACATGAAAATTTGTTCAGTTTAACTTAAAAATCCTATGTTTCCGAATGGACCAATAAATCCTACCATGCGGTGATCTGATTATGTTCTGTAAATTTTAAAGTATGGATACATTTAAGTAAACAATATAGAGCCGGATAATACTATTACTAGTAAGGCCTTGGTTTTCAGTTCAAGTCCTCTCAGGGCCATTTAGAGAGTTTCAGATGGGTAGTTAACCTGAAGGATTATTAGCTATCTAAATACAAATAATCGAACAATGTTTGATTATGATTATAAACCAAAGCTTGTTTTTGAACTCCATACGCTCATCAGAACAGATTGGTAAAATGGGCTTAAAAGCTTCATATGAAAAGGCAGTTTTTTAAAGCCAAGGACATGAATTGACCCATGAAGCTCAAATTGAACTAAGTTAGCAACAAATAATATTTTAGGCCCCCTTTGGTTTGTAGAATTGGATTGGATTTTGAGAGATTTAGAATTAAATTCCATTCTAATCCCATATCTGGTTTGAAGGATTTCCTAGATTTGAAATCCCACAAACATGGGATTTCAGGTGATTGGTATTTCATGGGCCGTAGAATTTGTAATAATGTTTATGAAAATGTTAAAAACATTTGTTTTGTAATAACCAATTAATAAAAAGGTAATTTAATTATTTATAATTTGTTTTTAAAAATTATTTACAAAAAATGGTCATCCCAAATCCTTCCAAATCCATATCCCTCCAATTCCAAATCCTTTCCATGAAATCCAAATCCCTCAAAATCGTTCCATCAAACCAAACAGCCCTTAGTATTTCAAATTGTTACAGTTTAATGGATGTTTTTGAACCGGCAGACTTTGTATGTACCAAGTGAAATTATCTTGACCGGATATAGATGATTTACAAGGCTGATAAAAAGAAAAACGAATAGATGCTATAGAAGACCATAAGAAGTAAAAATGTGCAGTTTTATTTTCTTAATAAATAAAAAAATATCTGAATTTCAGTCTCATATACAGCAATCATATGGACCCTTATTCTCACAAAAAACCAGAGATAGGAAAGCAGTTGTATTCATGATTTTATAAAAACCGAAGAATCAGTAACTTGAGGATCAAATGAGTTTCAAATAATCCCAGAAAAGTAAGAAATGATACCTCTGGAAATAGATAATGCTGGACTGTGAGCGGGCTCATTCTCGTCAAGAATGTACGGAAGTTCTAAAAACTGTAACAAAGCTTCTGTTTGAGGATTACGATTATGTCCTGGACAAAAACAAATGAACACAATAGTTAACAAACGTGCACGGAAATTTAACTGCATAAAGGAAAGATAAACAAGAAACATAGATTTCTCGGGTTTTTTTTCTTATTTTTTTCGCTCACGGTTGTTTTAATTAAGATAATTTAGTTAAACCCATGGCAGCAGGAGAAGTTGAAACTGGAACCTCAAATAGGGGCAGACCTTAGCAGTAAAGGTTCATCCCTTGGGGTTACTTCAATTCTCTCACCATATACATATGCAATATCAGCAACAAACAAAGATTAACTGATTAAGACCAGCAGAAGGTGTTGATCTCCAAGATACTTGATTAAAATAGAGTAGAATGAATCTCAAGTAACAAAAGGCAAAGAAATGGCAGCAAAAATATGTACTTAGATGTTATCTGGAGTGGGTCAAATTCAGTTGCTCTTATGCCAGTAAAGAGCTCAGAGGTCAAAGTCATTGCATCAACTAGTAGTGTATCCTAAACCAATTTGTATAGGCTAAAAATCAGAAATGTTCATAAATAACCTAAGTGAATCAATGTCCAATACTAGGATAGTGGATGACCAGAAAAACGGATCGCCTTGCTTAATGGTAACCTACACTATAAAGTATTTATGCTTTTGTTCTTAGAAACTCTCTAACTTTCGAGGGTGCAACTTATAAAACATTAAGCATAAATTATTAATGCATACAAAATCTTTCAATTTCAAAAATATTCTTATTTTGCCGTTCTTAAAATTTTAAGAACAAATTTATTTAGAAACCTTTTACTACCCTTCAAAAAAAAGGTCAATCAACCAAATCAACAACTAAATATTTGAGATTTTGGAAAACTCATCTCACAATTGATCTATATCCAAAAAACAAAGATCATAACAAGTCAATTTTCGGTTTACTATTAAATTTTACATTTTGTTGCATTCACACAGGTACACTTGTAGTCACACTAATTGATTTAGGGTTTCCAATGCCACCTTCTTGGTACAATTCTCTCCACACCAGTAAATAAGAAAATCTATGTGGTAGATAAACAAGCATGTTGGTGGTGTTCCATTGTCTCTCTTCCATCAGCACCAAGTTCACATGCCTTACCCTAATATCATGCAATCGTTCCTTCTTGGAAACCTAACATTTTCCACCCATATCAAGTCTCACATCACCCCACCTAAAGTTTATGCTTCAACTTTGGCTACATAACAGCCCCAAGCATGATGACACCTTGACCATCTTTGTTGCTGGTAAACCTCCAATACGTTTTACATATAGAAGGAAGTAGTAAGGTGTTTTGGTTTGTGTTCCTGTTCTATTGCTTTCTAGAATATGTCCAGGGGTACTTATGGTATTTGGCTTGAAAATAATTGGCGGGAGTTAGTTTTAGTTTGGGGGAAAGGTGGGTGGAGAATTCATTTTCGGTTTTGCTGTCAATTGCAATCTGAACGTAAGCTCTGGGAGGGTCCATGGCCTCTTGAATGCCATAGGGTGTAATTTTCATCGGAATATACATGATAGCTGTCCATTTTCGTTCCAGTTTGTATCAAATTGGTATAAGAGCGGCTATGATCCAGATATGGTATAGCATGGCGACGAGGGTTGATGATTCGGAGAGTAATGTGGGTTCGATCGAACGGGGAATGCAAGCAATCATGCAACAGATGGAGAGAATCAGCAAACCACAAGATGAAGTGGTCAACAAATTGAATTCCACTCCATCATCTAATGGAGACGACGCATCTGGATCTGGTGGAAAAGGGAGAAAGGGAGGAGATAATCAGGATCCAAATCGTTTCCTGGCCGTGAAGGGAAGGAAATTGGAGATCCCAACGTTGAAAGGGAAGGATCCGGACAGATGGATTATCAGAGCGGAAAGGTACTTTACTTTAAATCGATTGAGTCAAGAAGAGCATATCGATGTTTCGTTCATTGCTTTTGAAGGAGACGCATTTAGAAACGACATCCGATCACGAGGTCGGAAGATTTGAAACGAATGCTTACGCAATTCAGATCGCTGGCTTCAGGATTGCTGCGTGAGCAGTTCATAGTGGTTAAACAGGAGGGTACCACCGATGACTATAGGAGGAAATTCATGGAGCTTGCTGCTCCATTAGATGGAATACCGGAGGAAGTCTTTTTGAGCCAGTTTATCAATGGTTTAGAGAATTCTATTAAAGCCGAACCGCGTTTATTGAGCCCTGTATCGTTGAGTGAAGCAATGGAAACAGCTTTGAAAATTGAAATGAAGAATAAGGTGATTGGTAGAGACAGAATTTTGTTTTCGGGAAAGAGGAGTTCGAATTCTGTTACGGAGATCAAAAGTAGTGCCTCCAATTCAGTTTCGTCCCTGTTTCTTTAAAAAAATCTAGATCTGAGTTTAGAAGGTCATCAGATCAAGAGGTACAACAGAGGCAATCACTAGGTCTCTGTTATAGGTGCGAGGAAAAATATTCCCCGGGCCATAAATGTAAAAAGAAAGAGATGAACGTAATTCTCATCCAAGAGGATTCGGCCGAAGAGATAGATCCTGAAGAAGATGAGAAATATCTGAATACGGTAGATGTGGTTGATATCAGATAGAAAGTTGAGGTTCATCTTAACTCCATTGTTGGTCTTACAAATCCGAAGACGATGAAAATGGAGGGGGTCGTTGAAAATCAGAAGGTGGTAGTGTTGATTATAGCGGTGCTACACACAATTTCATTTCAAAAGAGGTGGTAAACTATTAATATGGGGACAGGCAATACAGTGAAAGGGGAAGGTGTTTGTCAGCGAGTTATATTATCGTTGCAGAATCTGGATTTATAGAGGATTGTTTGCCTATACAACTCGGTAATACTGATGTTATTCTACGCGTGCAATGGCTGGAGACTCTGGGAGCAACGTATATTAACTGGAAACAGCAAGTAACGAAGTTTACAGTTTAAGGGAAATCGGTTTCGATAAAGGGGGTCCTTCGTTGGGCAGATCCAAAGTATCATTAAAAGCCATGGGGAAAGTGATACAACAAGTGGGCCATTGGGTGAGTGTAATTGGAAATGAAAGTGAAGAAGAAAAGATACTGCTGCAGCGCTGCTGGAACCTTTAGTACGGGATTATGATCAAATTTTTCACATGCTTCAGGGGCTGCCACCTCGAGGCGGAAAGAACATGGAATTGTATTGAAGGATGGGACAGGACCTGTGAATGTTCGTCCATATAGATATCCCCATTACCAAAAAGATGAAATTGAGAAATTTGTAAAAGAAATGTTGAAAGCAGTGTTAATACAGCCTATTGCAAGCCCGTTCTCAAGTCCGGTGTTGTTGGTTAAAAAAAGGATGGAAGTTGGAGGTTCTGTATTGATTACAGGGCTTTAAACAAGGCTACCATGGTCGATAAGTTTCCTATACCCATGATTCAGTTATTGGATAAATTATATGGCGTTCGTGTGTTTTCAAAGTTGGACCTAAAATCAGGATATCATCAAATCAGAATCAAAGAGAATGATGTGCAGAAGACCGCTTTTAGAACTCACCAAGGACATGATGAATTCCTTGTAATGCCCTTCGGTCTCGTCAATGCAACAGCTACATTTCAGGGGCTAATGAATGATGTATTCAAACAATTTTTGCAGAAATTTGGTGTTGGTATTCTTTGATGATAATATGATATATTAGTGTACAGCAAGTCCATGGAAGAACATCTAGATCATTTGAAGATGGCGTTTGAAATTGTCTCAACATCGGTTATATGCTAACAAGAAGAAGTGCGAGTTTGGTGGCGATAGATTGGAAAGTCCAAGATTAAGACCATTATTGACTGGAATGTTCGCAATTCGGTGACAGAATTACAGAGATTCTTGGGATTATCAGGTTATTATTGGAAGTATATTAAAGGATATGAAATGGTAGCTCATCCTCTTACAGATTTGCTCAAGAAAAATCAATTCCAATGGGTCTGAAGAAGCCCAGATTGCTTTTGAAGAGTTAAAGAGGTTGTTATCAACAGCCCCGGTTCTGAGGTTGCCTGATTTTTCGACCGATTTTATCATCGAAACTGACGTTTTTTGGGTTCGGTTGGGTGCTGTGTTGACGCAGAAGGAACAGCCAATAGCTTATTTGAGCCAAGCGTTAGCATTGAGAGATAAACAAAATCAGTGTATGAAAAAGAATTAATGGCCGTTGAGTTTGCTGTCCAGAAATGGAGACCGTACTTGTTGGGTAGACATTTCACCGTAAGGAGTGATCAACAAAGTTTACGGTTCTTATTAGAGCAAAGGGTGGTGGAATCAGAGTACCAAAAGTGGGTAAGTAAACTGTTGGGATATGATTTCTCTATTGTCTATAAACTGGGGTGTGCTAATCGAGCTGCCGGTGCCTTGTCCCAAAGAATAAGAACGGTTGAGTGTTCAAGTTTGGGGGGACCGTAATGGAGACAATGGGACCATTTGAGACAAGAGATTGATGGAGATGATCTTTTAACAAGGATAAAGACTTACTTATTGAAAGATGCCTCTTCCCATAAAGGGTTTAAGATTAGGCAGGGGTTGCTGTTGCACAAGGACAGATTGGTACTACCCAGAAATTCCACAATGGTTCCTTTACTTTTTGAAGAATTTCATGCTTCTCCTATCGAAGGACATGCGGGAGAAGATCGTACATATCAACACGTAGCAGCTAAGGTGTTTTGGATAGGCATGAGGAAGGATATTGTTGATTTGGTTAAAAGATGTGAAATATGCCAAAGAAATAAAAATCTTAGTGGGAGTCCAGCAGGCTTGTTGCCTATGCTGTTAATATCGCGATATATCGTCGATATATCGGATATCGCTCCAAGAGAAAATATCGATCCATAAATATCGGTCAAAATATCGTCCCCGATATTATCGGCGATATTTTCCGATTTTTCCCGATTTTTAGCGATATTTTGATGCAAATATCGGACCGATATATCGATTTTTTAGGGTTTAAATATTTGGGCTTTTGTTACTTCATGGGCCTAGTTTTTTGGGCTTGGTAACTTAAATTAGGTCTGAAATTGATCTGCCTCCACAATGGTCTTCTTCTTTCTCTTATATTAGCTCGTTTTTGAACACTTTAGATGATGTGATGTTTTAATTTTGAAACTATATTTCTAAACTCTAATTAATGCATATTATATATATATATATATAATTCTAAGAAATATTATGTTAACCGCTATTTTGGACCATATATCGAATATCGGTCCTGACCGATATTTCGTATTCTGACCGATATAACAGCATAGCTTGTTGCAACCTTTATCGCTGCCCGATACGATTTGGGAGGAAGTTTCAATGGACTTCATCGAAGGATTACCACGTTCTAATGGTATGAGTTCGATTCTAGTGGTGGTAGATCGTTTTAGCAAATATGTGCATTTTATTGGCTTAAAACATCCATTTAATTCTCAATCAGTGGCTGAAGTGTTCGTGAAAGAAATTATTCGGTTACATGGGGTTCCTCAATCCATTGTATCCGACCGAGATAAGGTGTTTCAAAGTATATTCTGGAAAGAATGATTCAAGTTACAGGGTACTAAATTGAAGTTTAGTACAGCCTACGATCCACAAACGTATGGATAGACAGAGGTCGTTAATAGGAGCCTTGAGCAATACCTACGATGTTGGGTATCGGATAGACGGAAGCAGTAGAGTAAGTTGTTATCATGGGCCAAGTTATCTTATAGTACTTCATATTACTCCTCACTCAAATGTTCTCCTTTTCGAGTTCTTTACGGGAGGGAACCACCACCATTATTACGTTATAAGACATCTAATTCTAATGTGCAGTCCGTAGAGCAAGAACTGATGAGTCAGAATGAAATTTGGGATGAGGTAAGGATGCATTTATTGAAGGCTCAATGTCGGATGAAACAGCAGGCTGATCTAAAAAGGAAAGACGTCACTTTTGTTCCTGGTGATTGGGTATTTCTAAAAATTCGCCCTTATAGAGAGAAATCATTAGTAAGTGGACATAACCCAAAGTTGATGGCAAGATTCAATGTACCCTATAAAGTGCTGGAACAGATTGGGTGGGAAGTTGCTTATCGATTAGAATTGCTAGTAGGGGTTAAGATACACCTTGTCTTTCATGTTTCTCAATTAAGGGCAGCTGTGGGGAATTGTGCTTCAACGAAAGACATTCCAACTCAACTCACGGAAGAGTTCGTATTACTAGCAGAACCAGAAGACATTTTGGACGCTCGTCCTATGTTGAATGGGGGTCCCGGACAGTCAGAAGTTTTGGTTAAATGGCAAGGCATGTCTGATTTTGAATCTTCTTAGGAGTATCTGGATGCTTTAGTGCAGCAATTTCCAGATTATCACCTTGAGGACAAGGTGAAAGCTTTGAGGGTGAGTATTGGTAAACCTCCAATACGTTTTACATATAGAAGGAAGTAGTCGGGGGTTTTGGTTTGTGTTCCTGTTCTATTGCTTTCTAGAGTAAGTCCAGGAGTACTTTATTTGGCCTGAAAATAATAGGCGGGAGTTGGTTTTAGTTTGGGGGGAAGGTGGGTGGAGAATTAATTTTCGGTTTTGCTGTCAATTGTATTCTGAGCGTAAGCTCAGGGAGAGTCCATGGCCTCTTGAATGCCATAAGTTTGATTTTCGTCAGAATATACACGATTGCTGTCTAATTTCGTTCCAGTTTGTATCAGTTGTCTACGTCCTATTCAATATCCTTTTTCTATTACGTACCCAAGTGACCAAAGACATCCTTACCATGATTTGTACTTGCCACTGTCCACCAAAATCGAACAGAATTCCATGCGTTCAAAACCTTTGCTGGACCCATGAAGAATGAAAATCTTAGGAGACCTTGAGGTGTTGATATGATGGACTTTAGGCATTGCTTTTCTCTTTCAACGGATTTTATTTCCCTTCTTCAACTATGAAAGGTCATCTGGATGAAGTTACTAGCCAGTTTGGAATTGCTTGATGTTGAACAAAATATTATGTCCTCAACTATATCTTCATCAATTAATATAAATTAGTGACCGAAAACTTTTAGGTTATTGAGTTCACACCATATCATCCAACTTTGTCACTATTAAAAACCTCTCTCATTACATGAAATTGGTGGGCACCATGACGAATCTTAAAAGTAAAGATTCATAAAAAGTTAAGAGGAAAACAATATTCCTATATTTTAGTATATATAACGTACCATTAGCAACAGTCTCGGAAGAATTGTGGCATGGAACTGTCCGAACAAACTCAAAAGGTTTAGTCCCTCTAGATTGCAGTTTACTCCTTACCCATCGACGACATTCTTCCATGTCAAGCTGTAGACACCTAAAACCAAGAGAGTCATAGTCTGCTTTTTATCCAAATAATTATAAAGCAGATGTCTCCTTAAATGTCAATACCCAAAATTGGCACGTTTTGCAGTCAGGGGGAAAACGGAATGGAACCTACGGGTTATTGCTAGCCACTCTTCGTCATACTGAATTTCATGTGGCCCAGGGTCTGATTCAACTTCAATAATCTATGCAAATCAGAAATCACGAAAAGAAATGTCAAGGAGACACACCGAGTTGAAAAGCAACTGAGGAAGAATATCAAACTGCACCTGCAAAAATTTTCGTCTTGGGATACACTTATCTAGAGCAAGAAATTTTGTAACTGGACCTCCATCCTCATGTTGAACTAGAGCAGCAAACTTGCAATGTAAGTGAGCAGAGAACCAGTAAGAAGGTTTCAATTTTTCTAGCAACTCTGCAGCTGGTTTACTTCCCAAAGTTCTGTCCTGAATCTGAAGAACAAAACCTTTAAGATTGTCAATTTCTAGATAGCAAAATACTGCATATGTGTAAAGTGTCTTATTGTAGTCTTTTTCATTCTGCAATGCATGAAAAATAAAACAAAAATCAATGACTGAGAATGTTGCTTTTTTTGCCTTCCCAATGAGTATAAATACATATGGGATCGGTGAACATATGTGCTATGAAGACCATGTACAAATGAGTGTCCCAACAAATATGTACTATCAAGACCCCCATGTGGACGAATCACTCATGTTCAATATGTGTACTATACACTGACTAAGTGCCAGCCATGTCATGTCCAATTGTGCATCTGCACCACTCAAGTCATGCCTAGCCAAGACACCATCACTTATGCAGAGGCAGATTAAACAACTCGTCGAGATGAAACAGTAGGAGCATGACAAAAACGTAGGGGAACTTACAAACATAAATGCATGCAACTTTTGATCCAGGAGGAGTTACAAATATTGCAACCAGACAACAAGAAAGTCCCGACGGGCCAAACGCATGGAAAACAGCAATTGACAGTTTGGCCCGACAGTTCGGCCCAAATTCCCTCATCTGGGAATCCGATTTCGAATCTCCCCCAATTTTCAAGATATTTATAGTTTTCATACTATTTTGTTTGTAACGTAAATCAGAAAGTTCCATCAATCACAGCTATCTTTGGTTAGAAAATTTCAGTTATTTAGGCATACTAGAGAATTTTAAAATTTTCGCGGAACTTGCCAAAGTTAGAAGCATCCTGTACAAACCCGTATTTCTCCCGTCTGGATCCCGACCCCTAAGTCTGACACCAGAGTCTTGCATCTCCAAGAACTGCTATCAGAGTCAGGTACTCGGAAATGCCTAAAGCCATCATGTCCAATCTTAGTTGCTTATCTCAAGTCCTCCTTGGCCTACCCCCCTCCTCACCCCCTCAATTGTCACACTTTCTACCCTCCTAACTAGAGCCACCATCTGTCTCCTACAAACATGACCAAACCACCGGAATCTCCTCTCCCTCAACTAATTTGTGATAAGAGCAACTCCCATCCCAACACTGCCGGGAAGACCCCATTCGGTATTCTGTCAAACATGATTCTATAACAGGTCCATCTAAGCATTCTCAATTCTGCAACTTCCACATTCCTCTGACATGCCTTCCTTACCGCTCAACACTCCAACCCATACAACATAGCAAGTCTGATAGCTACCTGCTACCCTAAAAAATTTGTTCGTCAGTTTTAGCCAGACCTTCTTGTCACCCAACACCCTGTGGTTACACTACACCCCAGCCACGTTGTCTTTATGCAATGTGTAACGTCATCCTTGACCCCACCCCCTTTCTGAATCATGGAGCATACATACTTAAATCCATCCTGTTGGGGTACCCTTTGCCCCTCAATGTTGACTTCCACCCTCTCGTCTATACACTCCCCATTAAAACTTAATATTTACTCACTTGACAAATACAAACACACATGCACATAGTGATGGCCAAAATGGAGAGTTGAGCATGCTTCCGATGAAGCAGTGATACTAACTAGACTCTCAAATGCAAAAAGTAGCAGCTGAATCTAAGTCACTCTTAAGAAACAAGGCACAATCTATCCATATGATGAAGATGAATTTGGTAATGTTTTTAGGTCCATTAAGAGGATGTAATTCAAGCCACTGGCCACAATTTACATAACACAACAATCCCAATTACCTCCTTCTCAAAATGAGGCTTATCGCAGACAAGGTCTTTCCAGTTCCCATGGTCAGTGATGCCAAGGGGCCAATCATGTGAAATGAAAATATCAATAGGTTCCTCAACTTGCATGAGCTTGTGAACATCATACTCCCGCACATGGTACACTGACTTGACATCACTATTGTTATACGGAGGTCTTTCAAAATGTCCTGTTCAAGGAAAAGACAGGCTGCTAAAATCAGTTGGCTCATATGTATGGATTTGTAATTAAAATTACATCTACCTTTATCCAGTTCTAGGCATATAGGGCTCACAAAAAAAGCTTTAATTTATACAAATTTATATTTGAAATTTTTCTACACAAAGATAGCTTAATACAATGAAGACATTGGGTAAATAGTTGTAAATACTTAATTTTTAACACTTTAAACAAGTTAGGCAATAGGCACATAACTAACCTAAATGATAGTCACGAGACTTGTAAATCCCAGAAAGACCACCAATGCGAACACTCCCAAAGTTGACCACTCCTGCAAATCCCAAGTAGTATATATGAGGTGCTGCCCATCCACCATGGTATCTAGATAAACAACTAATATGTTAGTAATCTTCCACAACTTATCAATAAAATATAATAAATCAATGACCAAAACTGCTAATTAAAAATATTATCAACAAAAGAAAAGAAGGTTCTCAGTTTGTCATGTAATCTATTTTTGTGTATGCTAAATAAGACGCATGCTCTTCTAAAAAGCAAGTAAAAACAGGTAAAGAAAAAATACAAGATAAATAGATGTTAAACACCACAATTCTACTCAATGCTGACAGAATCAAGTCTTATCACAAATGCAAGAGAAGCACGATGAACAAGCCAACGAGCGGTACTCTAAAAAAGTTGGTACTCTAAAAAAGACGCTAAGCAGACAACTAAATACTTGATGCAAAATTGGTTAAGCAGGAACTAAGCGTATGCATTAAGCTGTTCAGTTTTAATGTATACCATTTGTATAACATAGCCTTTGGTGTTAGCTATCGATTTTTTGTCAATCAATTTTTTTTAAAAGCAATACACACTTGAGTGACCTTCCAACACAATCACCTAGTGAGCATTAAAGGACGCTTAAGCAAGAACATAATTTCATTTAAATATATAAAATATAACTTTGTCATACAAACATATGAGAATAGAGTTTGATAATGTATAATATTGATATACTTACTTCTTTGAATTACTAGTTTCAGAGTTCCACTGATACAGTTGCAAAAAAAAGATCGGTAAGGTTCCTTCAAATTGAAGAAAGTTATAATTGATGAACAGAAGTTCAGAAAAGTCAAGTAATTCCTGCATAAACTTTGAGTTGCTTAACTTAACGATTAGTTGCCAATGAAGCAATGCACGAAATTCCTAGAAGGCCAATCAAGTTGCCCTAACTAATTGAGACAAAGTTTAATGCCTACTTACTGCCAACTCAAGTTCTTTCAAAATAAAGATAATGTGAACAACTAAAAGTCTTTCAGAATAAAAATATCTTAACATCCTAGAGTTTACTTGCTTCTACAGTTCCCTACTTCTAAACCGTTAACTTCTAGAACATGCTCGTCAATATATGTTATAAGCATACACATCCTACGAAAACTGCTCCCATTCACCCTTCGGCAAATAATTAACTTAATGTGCCTCTCTCAAGAATTTGTTAGGCCAAAAATACAATATACGTACTCTACAAGGAGGAAAGGGTAATTTGGGAAATTCAATTAGAGGAAATGGGTTGGATTCTATTGTCAAGTAGTGTTGTCCATTCGGGAGGGGGTTTTATAGTGATGAAGAAATATAAATAGGAGTTTGTGAGGAAAAATGAGGTTGTCGAGAAGTTTTGTCAGGTGTAACCATGGAGATCCCTACCTCTCTAAAATTAGGAAAGTAATAAACATTCAATTACCAACATAATCAACGTTTAATTGCAATTGATTTCATCAAATCATATCAATTGGTATTAACAAAGTTGGGTGAATTTCAGGGGAAGATCGGCTCACTTGAAGAAAAGATGGACTCGATGATGCAGAAGTTAGATACTATTGCTCATTTGCACGAGGAATGGGTGAAAATATCAGCGGCTAAGAGCGATGACGAGGCTGAGGGAGGTGAAAGACGCGGCAGAATTGGCGAAAGACGTTTCACCAACCATGGACCATTCTTCGCCATAAAGAGGCACAAACTAGAGTTGCCAGTATTTGATTAAACTAATCATGATGGGTGGTTGTTGAGGGCTGACAAGCATTTGGCTCTCAGTAAATTGACAAACAAAGAGTGTATGGAGGTGGATGTGATGTCTTTTGAAGAGGATGCACTGAGGTGGTGTTAATGGGAGAACAAACAACTTATCGTTGTCCGGAAGGAATTAAGCAATTGTTGTTGATATAGTTTCGATTTACAACGGATGGCAATCTTTATAAACAAGTTTTAGCCGGGAAGCAGGAAGGGAGCGTGGTTGAATATAAAAGACCTTTTGTGGCCTTGTTAGAAGACATTTTGGAGGAGACTTATGTAAGACAGTTATTAAGGGACTTCTATCGAAAATCAGGGCTAAAGTAGGTGCCTTCTCATATGTTGAATCAAACAATGGATATCATTGCAAATAAGAAGAATGGAATCGAATGGTAAAAGTAAACCGAGCCAAGTCTTTCAAGGGTTTCGCACCACATAGACAAGCCTATGAAGAGGGAAAATACTAGAAACACTCACCCAAACAAGAGGGTCGTCCACGAGGAATCCGACAAAATTCCAGAAACTATCAATTAAAAAATTGAACTAAAGAGACAGCAGGGTTGTGCTACAGATGTGACGAAAAGTACTCGCTAGGACATCGATGCAAGAAAAGGGAGTTGAATGTGATTGTGTTGCAAGAAAATGAGGATGACAATGGAGAAGAGGAAATAGAAGGATGTGAGGGAGACACAGAATTGGCAAACATATGCGGAGGCCGGAGAACAAGACGTGACAGTGTCATTGAATTCAGTGATTGGTTTCTCCACTTCAAAAACAATGAAGTTAGAAGGGTTAGTAGGTGAACAATGAGTGGTGATCTTGATTAACAGCAGAGCTTCGCATAATTTCATCTCATCCACGCTGGTAGAGTGTTTGGGACTCAAGGTTAGTCCTCCATGGAGAAAGAAATGTTAGAAACAGGGATTATCGAGCTCAGTCGAAGTCCCTTTTCGAGTCTGGTTTTATTGGTTCAAAAGAAAGACGGAGTTGACGATTTTTCATCAATTATAAGGTGCTTAATAAAGCAACTGTACCAGACAAGTTTCTCATTCGATGAGCTTTTGGACGAGTTGCACGAAGCAGCGTGTTTTTCGAAGTTGGACCTTCGAACAAAATACCACCAGATTCGGATGCGAGAGAAAGATGTACATAAAACCACATTTTGAATGCATGAAGGGCACTACAAATTTTGGTTCATGCCCTTCGGGTTGACAAACGCACCGGCAACATTCCAAGCCTTGATGAATGTGGTGTTTCGACCATTGATGAGGAAATATGTTTTGGTGTTTTTCGATAATATTTAGGTGTATAGCAAGTCGGCAGCGTTGATTAGAGCTCAACAAAAGATGAAGTTGCAAACCGATAGACATCGGCAACAAGTAGAGTTTTTGATGAGGAAGATGGTATTGCTAAAGCTCCAACTTTATCGTCAAAGGTCGTTGCAAGATAGATGAAATCAGAAGTTGTCAACAAGGTTTTATGGCCCATTCGAAGTAACAGAGAGAGAGAGGGGGTAAGTAAGGTGGCGTACAAGCTACGATAGCCTCAAACAACTCAAACACATTCAATGTTTCACGTGTCTCAATTACAGAAAGCAATCGAGTAGACTTTTTTTCTATAAAACTTCCTAATCAGCTAAGTGACGAAGGGGTGTTGGAGGTCGAACCGGAGGAATTGTTGCAATGTAGAATGACAAGCGCAAAAGTATCAAAAGTGTTAATCAAGTGGAAGAACTTGCCACTTTTTGAGGCAACATGGGAAGATTTTGCATTGTTGAGTTCTTGATCTCGCAATTTTCACCTTCAGGACAATGGAGAAAGCTTAGAGGAGGGTATTGTTAGGACTGAAAATACGGTACATACTCTAGAAGAAGGAAATGGTAACTTGGGAAATTCAAAAATTCGAAATGGGTTGGATTTTGTTGTCAAGTAGCATAGTCAGTTGGGGAAGGGGTTGTATAGTGACGGAGAAATATAAATAGGAGTTTGTGAGGAAAAAGGGGATTATCAAAAAGTTTTGCCATGTGTAATCGTGGATAGCAAAGTTAGGAAAGTAATGAACATTCGATTTCCAACATAATCAATGTTTAATTGCAATTGTTTCATCAAATCATATCAATGAATTCTACTACAATTCACCTACGTGTAAGCAGAACTCATAATATTCAAAGCAGCTTCATATATGACCTAATTCGGGATCATCCTAGCAAACCTAACATCCAGTCATGAACCATCACCCGTAATGAAGCTTGTCTGCTTGTGTGATAACAAAATTCACATTTCCATTGAAGTAAATGAATCCCAAATAAACAAACCTTAGACATAGTATTTATTTTGGGAGTTCTATCACACCCAAACCAATGAAGATAACAACGGTCATCACTTTATTACCCGATTCAATGCAGCACAATAAGAGATAGAAGTCACCATGTTCTTGATATCGAATCTTCAACATCTATACTACCTTATAAACCAGTCTTAAAAACAATTTTTGATGCACAAAGTCTTAAAAGTCTTAAAAACAACTCATAATGCATTAAGTACTACTACTTTATGCATTCAGACTTAAAATCTCTTAATCTACAATTAAAATAACATATAGTACAAGTTACCACTGCACATTATTACCTTTTCTTTTCATGTTCCCAAGATACTTTTGATACCTTTCACTCATGCCTTCACCCTCTCATACCTCTATGTCTTCTCCCCATCCCCCAAGGTGAGATTCAAACTGATATTCACCATGAGTTGTTAAAAGTTCTCCCATTCATCTGCCATTCAATTGCTCTAGAACTCTCGGTCTCGCTCTCGATCTCTTGATTCTTTGCTCTTGGTGTAAATCAAACACATTTGTGGAGTCGTTTAAATATGTTGGATTTTAAATATATTGGATTTTAAACTTTTATCGATAGACTGTAATTGGAACCACAACTCTTATTTATTCAAATTGTATTAATATGTAAAGACCAAGTGTAACTTATATCATCGTTAAATCTTCTCTAATAAAACCAGTAAAACTTCAAAATCGTTAAAAGTCACGGCTCCCAGCGCATTGCACGGGTACACAACTAGTAGTTAAATAACATAAGTAAAAAAGAAAATAATAGAAAACCAACAATTAGACATGGTAGAGCATCAAAATAACTATCCTTCTTCAATAGCAATAACATGAAGTAAAGACAAAAACACTCACAATTCCCAGAGATAATTGGATGCTTCATGATTTCCTCCGATGAATATAGTCGGAAATGGAGCTACTTTTTCTCCGGAGTAGTACTTCCAGAAAGAATTCATGCTCCTGTATTTAGGTGGTACACTTAAGCTTTCCAAATCCTTCTCATTCCTAACAGCCTGGTCAAAAGAACATCTCAGATTGACACTCGGTCATATAGACATTCAGTTATGATGAAAAGGTGTATTTAAATATATGAGAATAATAATAAATAACTACATGTGTTTGGCGTTCAAAAGAAAAGTTATACAGATGGTGAAACAAAGACCCATTCAAATACCACCAAAAAATTATCTGCTATTAACAACGAAAATCAAATGAAGGCAACAACTTCACACTATTTATATAGAGAAGAAATAAAGAAGAAAAATAAGAAAGAAAAACAGTTTTTAAGCAATCCACAACAGGTCCTAAAAGCATGGTCAAAAAGAGCAGTAACATAGGTGAACATTATTCATATGTTGATCATGAAAATGTTTTTAATGAAACAAATAACGTTTGTTACGCTTCAACCAAACTTTTAAATGTAACAAATGAGGGCAATGGCAGATGGTTCCATTAAAAAGTGTCATATCGTTCATAATGGGAAAAGGAGCACCGAAGAAAAAATAAAAGAAAAAGTAAAAAAGTATTACTCCTCTCTTATCCTTTGCTTTTTTTGTTTTTTTGAGTTTTTGCACGTGACAATTGCCATTGATATTTACTACAATTGCAAGTGGAATAACAAAGGAAAACAAATCCCAGCGGAGCCGGACGTGTAATGTGGATGAATAACAAATGTTATAAACCCAATAAAGAAAAGATAAACCTCAAAGGCTCAAACTAGTATATGGTAAGAGTAAACAACTTCCAAAATAGTACTTCAGAAAGAAAGTTGAACCAATGTAGTGCTAACCTGGAAATCACCACAACAAATTAGAAGATCAATTTTTGTCTTCTCAGCTTCTTGTAAATGCAAGAGAGTTGCATAAACATTATCCAAATCCCCATGCATGCATCCTTCTATTGCGATTTTCATCGATATCTGTAAGTCCAAAGAATTGTGAATTTGTGATAATCCATGAAATATAAATTGGTAAAAATAAAACCAAAGCTAATTTGAATCATTATAAACAGATGATCGATTAACAAGACAGGAGAAATTATAGTGTTAATCTCTTGTTGTAACCTATAATAAGTAGAGAAACAATGTAAAAAATGATCGCAAATCCGGAAGGCTACCAGTTTGTATACACAAGTACATAACACTTTGAAAAAGGCAAGGCAGCGACCATGTAATATATCCTAACTAATTGAGTGACCAAACTTCTGTTTAACATCAAAATCAGTTGACTCGTGCCACTCATCCACCGATGCATTTCACTTGTGCTAGAAGAAAGGCACGTAAAGGAGGTAATTAGGGAACACTAGTGGAGTTGTTTTGCGAATAGCAGGAGATTATTTCCCTTGGGGGTATTTTGGGTAGTTTCTTGTTAATGCAGATAGGGGTTGTTTAACAGTTGCCGAATGGGTTGCTACAGAATGGTTAAGGGGTCGGAATGCTTAACAGGCTCTTTATGATATAGAATGAAATATGGTTGTTTGGTAACTCCTCTGAATGAACAACCTGGATGATAACAAATTATCATGTTAGCCTGTTATGAAATATGGTTGTTGTATACCATAGCTATTCCTATTCCTTAAAGTAGTTAAAAAAATTCTTGATTTCTTCTACTGACCAAAGTTGAACAAAAATTCCCATAAAGGATTTGGGTTTGATGAACATGTAACTTTTATATGAAGCTAAATTACACCAAATCATGGATGTTCGTCAAGAAAATCATGGAAAAGGTAACTTAGGGCTCAATTTAATCAACCTAAACCAAGCTGTGATGGTTGGTTTTTTGTTATACGTAGAGAAATCCATAAGAAAAGAGAGTGAATACCACCTAGTCTATTAGAAGCTTCACCATTCACTAATGGCTGCTTTCTGTTTTCAGGTAGAGAAGAAGCCAAAAAAAATCCCGGTCACATACCTTTGTGAGAGCAGAGATCGAATGGAGAGAACAGGGATGAACAAGAAACGGAAAAAAACCAGAAAATCACATACCTTGAGAGAGCAGAGATCGACGGAGAAGATGAAGATAGCCCTCGCCGGAGACCGTCTGAAGAGGGAGACGTTCAAGAGTGGGAGGTGGGAGAACGTTCAAGAGTAAGGTTTTGGAATGGTTTTGCATCACCCTGATACAAAATGGTTAGCAGGGTTTTGGAACCAAGTAGGGCTTATTTTTATTTTTTCCAAACATTTCTTTTAAGGGTTATCGCGTAATTTATTTTTAAGTGGCGTAATTTCTTTTTAAGGATTGATGTGGTGAGATATATCTTTATTTTAATGTTTTATAATATGGTTTATGTAGTTTTGATAAAGATAATGTTTTTATTTTTGAATAAAAATAAATTCAAAGATATCATAAAATCTTAAAAAAAAATATTAATATTAATATCAAATTAATTATTTAAAAGTTTTTTTTGTACAATTTCTTTAATTCAATTTTTTATTATAATTTAATTTAGATCTAACAGTGAAATAATTTATTTTTGGCTTAATGATATAATTTTTATAAGGATGATGACTATGTTAGAACTCAATGATTATCCTAATTGTATTTTAGATTTTTTATATCTATACTATATTATAAAACATTTGACAAAAACTCTTTAAAACAATTTTTTATGTATGAAGTACTTTTATTGATGAGTATTACTTAAAATTCAAGATTACAAGTAAATTGTGCATAAGTACAACATATTAAATCTTAATACTTGAATTCGTATAACTAACTACAGATAAACATAATCAAATATTGGATAAATATTTTATTTTAAATGTAAAAAATTTAAAATATCATTAGGATAATCATTGATAACTAACAAAATATTTAGTTATGATCTAAAATTATATTATTAAACCTAAATTAAATTTATTTGTTACTAAACCTAAATTATCTATACTATATTATAAATAATTTGACAAAAAACTCTTAAAAACGATTTTTTATGCACGAAATATTGTTTATTGATGCATATTACTTAAAATTTAAKATTACAAGTAAATTGTGCATAAGTACAACTTATTAAATCTTCATACTTGAATTTGTTTAACTAACTGCAGATAAACATAATCAAATATTGGATAAACATCTCATTTTAAATATAAAAAATCTAAAATATAATTAGAATAATCATTGATAACTAACAGAATACTTAGTTATTATCTTTATAAAAAATTATATTATTAAACCTAAATTAAATTTCTTTGTTATTAAATCTAAATTAAATTATAATTAAAAAATAGTTAAGAAAATTATACCAAAACACAAGAACTTTAAAAAAGATTAATTTAATACTGATATCGATATTTTTTTTCAAAATTTTATGATATTTTTAAGTTTATATTTTATTCAAAAATAAAAACATTATCACTTTCTCAAAACCACATAAAACCAATGTTTACTTAAAATTCAAGATTACAAGTAAATTATGCAAAAGTATAACTTATTAAAGCTCGATGTTTGAATTCGTATGACTAATTGCAGATAAACATAATCAAATAGAGGATAAACATCTTATTTTAAAATATAAAAATCTAAAATATAATTAAGATAATTATCGAGTTCTAACAAAATAATTAATTATTATCTTTATAAGAAAATTATATTATTAAACCAAATATAAATTACTTCGTTATTGTACCTAAATTAAATTATAATAAAAAATTTGAATTAAAAAGTTACACAAAAAATGAGGAATTTTAAATAGTTACTTTAATACGAATATCGATATATTTTTGTTATGAATAAAGTAATTAGATTTAATAATATATTTTTTTATAAAGATAATAACTAAGTATTTTATTAGTTATCCATGATTATCCTAATTATATTTTAGATTTTTTATATATAAAATAAGATGTTTATCCAATATTTGATCATGTTTATCTGCAGTTAGTTAGACGAATTCAAGTATAGAGCTTTAATAAGTTGTACTTATGCACAATTTACTTATAATCTTAAATTTCAAGTAATATGCATCATTAAACAGTATTTCGTGCATAAAAAATCGTTTTTAAAAGTTTTTGTCAAATGTTTTATAATATAGTATAGATTATTAAATCTATTGTACTCACGCAATGCAGCGAGATACATCTTGAGTTTAATATTTCATTTTTTTTCTTTATCTCAGTAGTTGTTATATGGTTTCATGTGATTTTGAAAAAGCGATGATGTTTTTATTTTTGAATAAAATATAAAACTGATATCATAAAAATTTGATAAAAATATATTGATATTAGTATCAAATTAACTATTTAAAATTCCTATTTTTTGTGTAATTTTTTAATTCAATTTTTTTTATCATGCATTAATTTAGGTTCAATAACGAAGTAATTTATATTTGGTTTAATAATATAATTTTTATAAATATAATAATTAATTATTTTGTTTGAAATCGATAATTATCCTAATTATATTTTAGAATTTTTATATTTTAAAATGAGATATTTATTTTCTATTTGATTATGTTCATCCGCAGTTAGTTGCACGAAATAGGCAAAGGCAGCGACCATATAATATATCAAAGATGAGATTGGTATTCATAATGAAACGTGTTGCACTAAAAGACGAAATATGATTCAACCCAAAAAAATCAAAGAGGAAGTTGGTATTTATAATGAAACGTGATTTCATATTTGTGTTTATGGTATTAAAAGAGGGGGTTTTCACGAAAATGACCAGAATATACCTGATGTATTAACAAAATAGTCATTTTTATGGGATTTACCAAACTAACCACATGGATCGCCTCCGAGGGGCATTGTTTGATCATGGTGGTGATCCTCTCATATGTTGACCATAAAGGTGTGTTTGGTACGTTGGACAGGGTGGGACAGGACAGGACAAAACACAATTGTCCTATGTTTGGTGTGGCCTTATGTGGGACTAACTAGAACACGGATGGGACAAGGTAGTTCACCCTTACCCCCTAGAACTAAGTGGAACAAGAAATACTTGACCACTCTACCCTCAAAACCTAATACGCACTCATCCCTTTTCTTCCCATTCACAATCGGCGGCAAAAATATTTGACCACTACATCGCTTCTACCTTCTCCTTCATCAATCGGTGGCAGAAAAGCTTCATCATCTTCTTCAAGCCACCTTCATCTCCATCATCTTCTTTAAGCCACCTCCATTTCCATCGTCTTCTTCACAGCTTCTTCACAATAGACCTCCATCTCCAACGTCTCCTCCACAGCGGACCTCCATCTCCATCGTATTCTTCACAGCAGACCTCCATCTATATCGTCTCCTCCACATCGGACCTCCATCTCCATCGTTTTCTTCACAGCTTCTTCACAATAGACCTCCATCTCTATCGTCTCCTCCACAGCGGACCTACATCTCCATTGTCTTCTTCACAGCTTTTTCACAGCAGACCTCCATCTCCATCATCTCCTCCACAGCAGACCTCCATCTACATCG